CCCAAGATAAGATAGAGCCAAGGCAGCTTCGCCTGATTACCAGACCTTGAGAACATGCTGACTTGAAATAACTCTGTGCCTCATTTAAATTGTCCAATAGAATCCCTGTAACTATGCTTTTCGCTTCTGTACTGTGCTTTTTGCTATATAAGGACCCCTCTCCCTTGGCTCGGCGCGCTTGGCCTCACAGAAGCTAAGTCGCCCCGGGTACCCGTGTATCCAATAAAGCCTCTTGCTGTTTGCATCCAGGTTCGTGGTCTCGCTGATTCCTGGGTACGGGTCTCCTTCTATGAAAGTACCTCTTCTGGGGTCTTTCAACCTAAAAACTAAAGTCTGAAAACTGAATCTGTTTCACACTACTTCGTTTGTTTTTTAAAACAAGTTTTCTCTGTATAGCCCTGATTGTCCTGGAATTCACTCTATAGACCAGGCTGGCCTTGACCTCAGAGAATAGGGTGCCTCTGCCTCCTGAGTCCTGGGATGAAAGGCGTGAGCCACTAACACCTGACCTTTTATTATATTTTTTTTAAATAAAGGTGTAACTGAGGCTTGGGGAAGTGACTTGTATCTCAAAAATAATTTTTTAAAAGTTTTATAAGTAGTTCCTTACTTTTAATTTAAATGCTTCCTTTATTGCTTTTTTTAATTAAGAAAGTATACTGTAAGAGTAATGGAACATTTTTGACCTCTCAGTACACCAAGTCACTCCACATGGGCTGTTCTGATATCTGCCCCCAGTCCTCACTATTACTAAACAGTAAGGCCATGGCTCATTGATCCACCCTCTGTTGATATTTCTGCTCTCCTAATATCTATGAAGATGCAAATATAGAAAGTGTGCTCATCAAAGCCAGGACTCACAATAAATGCTGTTGGTTAAGAAAAATCCATATTTACAAAGAGCCACAAAAATCTGGAATTATAAACCAAGTCAAACAAATAAAATTTAGAATGAACAAGTAAAAGAACCCACACAGAGTTTAAAAGAATGAAGTGTTTAAGTTTGGTGACACTTGACACTGTTAAAATTTGAAATTTTTCATTAACAAATACCATGTATCAGTAGTGTGTTATGATTCCAAGAGAAATCTATTGGTCCTCTACTTTGCAGCCTTTTGTTAAATATATAATATTGGGGGAAAAGAGATAGACATCATTGAATTCAGCTCTGGGTATCTTGATTATAGTGTATTTGGAATATGTATGATGTCTTAGGACTGTTCTATTGTGTGAAGAGAAAACATGACCAAGGCAACTCTTATTTTTTTTTAAAGAAAAGTGTTTAATTGAGGGCTTGCTTACAGTTGTAGAGGATTAGTTCATTACCATCATGGTCAGAAACAGGCATGAAGCTGGAGCAGCCGAGAGATTAACAACCTGATGGGCAGGCAGCAGCCAGAGAGAGTGGCTGGGCCTGGTAGGGGCTTTGAGGTTTTGTTGTTGTTTTGTTTTCTCCTCCACCTAAATCATTTAGTTTTCCTTAACAAAATGACTGAAAAACACAACTCTCTAAAAACAAGGCTGAAAGCAGGATTCTTCATGTTGTGTTATAAAACTGCCTATTTAGAGGACATGGTCATAATGTCCATGGGTGGGCATAGCTATTCTATGAGATATGAGATTCATGCATCCAAGTTTCACAACTGAAAGAAAGAGGGAAAAGCCAAAGGAAAACTCCAAATAAATGTTATAGATGATGTCTCTTTTGCATTGCACTTCAGAAGTGGGGTCCCAGCAGCAGCACAACTCCCTCAGTAAACCAAGAGCAAACCCTGCAGATGTCCTCCGCACGGAATGTCACATCCGGGCTTAGCAGTCTCCAATTGCAGGCAATAGTCCCTGGGATGTTTTGCACCTGCTCAAGCCACTTCCACCTCCCCTCAGCTCATAGCTGCCCTGTTAGACAGAAGGGCTCCAGTCTGGTTAGGGGTTTCAAAAACTCAAAGCCCTCCTCAGTGACACACCTCCTCCAGTAAGGCCATACCTAGTAATCTTTCCCAAACAGTTCTACTAAT